ATATGATGTTTTCAGATCTTCTGGGAAAATACCCAGCCCAATCAGCATTTTTTATGCTCTTAATGTTTACTCTGTCTGTGTCTATCTCAAAAAATGAAAAGATTTTTATTTCTATTTCCCTCCTGATGACTCCAGCTTTGTACTTCTGTGTGATCCATCTCCCATATTCAAGCCACTTATAAAGTCATGTTTACTTCCTACTACCCTTTGTGTATTTCAAATTTAGTTGTATTTAAATTTTTTTACTCACCCCTAACATTTGCTGGAAGTATTTACTGTTTTACTTACTGAAGCTCAGTCTTCGCAGTGACTAAGGTGAGAAATAACCAGGTTCATTTGTTTATCCACCTATCTTCCTCAGGACATAAACAATTTGATGGGAAATTCAGTCAGCTTTACACTCAACTGTTTGTAGAATTTGCCAAATTCATTAAAATCATCCATTGCTGTTATTTGTTTGAACTACTGAGACTTCTTACCTCACATGAAATTGTCACTACAGCATAAACTGCAGTAAATAATAAGCAAGAACACACTGTACAGTAAATACACCGATGATATTTATCTTAAGGATTATGGAGAAATTCTGCTGACTTGTCCGTCAGGTACCAGGACATCTACTGTTGTCTTATTGCTCTTGTGCTTCATGGGAGTAGTTTTGCTCACATATTTTGACAATGCAGTTCAGGCCAGCCGTGAGCTCACTTTCTAGTCCAGGTTGGCCTCGAACTTGCAACGATCATCCTGCCTCAGCCTCCCGAGTGCTGGGATTACAGGTGTGCGCCACCATGCCCAGCTTCTCACATGATATTTTAAAGACTTTAATACTGATGTTGGAATAGTAGCTATCCATAGTAACCAAGATAACATGACCTACACTGCAAGATTTGTAACTGTAAACCACTAAATTGTCAATGTCAGTAAGGCATGTGTTTATAAATTCAAATTTCCACCATGATCTTTTAATTAAAAACTATCTCATTAGGTTAAAGTAACAGATTACAA